CGGCACCGTGTCCGAGCTGCCGTGGGCTATGGCCCACGGCGATGACCGCGGGGGGCTCGCTGAGGATATGGGACGGCCACCTGCTCGCAAAGCCCTCGATGACGTTCACATCCCCACACCGCAGAGAGGCGCACCTTCACCGCCACTTTGCCGACGTGCGAGCTGAGACCGATGTGCGCCCGCCGCCCCACGCGCCGGCTCCAGGAGCAGCCACTGCAGCCGCTCAGGCGGGGGGAGGAGAAAGGGGCGGGGCCGCGCAGGCGCGCAGCAATGGCTCCTGTGCCAAGCAGGTGCCTGGGCCCAGGGCTGGGAGGAGGAGGAGGAGGAGGAGGAGGAGGAGGAGGAGGAGGAGGAGAGGTCGCCCGCTGCCGACGGTCTTGGCACCTGTGGTATTTACAAGGGCCTGCCCTCACGGAAGAGGACGTGGCCACCAATCAGGCGACCTACGCAGCCAGCATAGCCGACAACAAACGCAGAGGCCGCCCCGAACTATACCACCCTATCCCTGCCCACGCATCCGACGTCACTCCCTTACCCTCCCTTGACCTTTCACCATCACCACCGCCATTCTTCCCGACGGTACCAGCGATTACACCACCACCACCAGCCTACTACCCTCGGACACCGACCAGAAACAGATCTCTGCTTTACCTCACCAACATTGACAGACACCCGAACGATCTGCTCGACACTACGGACCAACGACTATGCTACAATGGAATGGTGATGGAACGGGTTACTCTGACCTTCGATGACCTCTACTCTGTCGACCACCCATCTCAGTACGACGCCCTCGACTCGCTCCACCAGCACATACGACAAGGCGACTTTGCTGGAGTGATGATCAACCTCTCACCCAGCACGTGGATCGACCAAGTCGATGGCGACCCGCCCGACAGAACGGCAGCATCTTCCAGAACGACCACGGACCCCTGGGGCAGAGTAAACCTTGGAGGTGAGGCAGCCGAACGCCGATTGATTGCGAACCACCACGCCCGCCTCGCCGTCCACACCTTCCACGCGGCTCACGTCGCCGAAGTACCAGCACTACTAGCGCAATCCTCAGCCCCAGCAGGTCCGTCAGTGATGTGGAATACTGAGATGATGCTCTACGCTACGGAGAACCTTGCTACGAGACGACCGACCATCATAGACGACGCCAGCAGCCTCTACGCCATCTACTTCGGCCTCTCCCAGGACCACGGTAATCCCCTCGACGACTTCGTCACCTCCATTTTGGGCAGTCTGCCCAGCTTGGTCGGACAGCAGCCGCTGATCCGACGACCCGATCTGGCCGTAACATGGCCCAAGACGAACGAGACAGGCGCCCACCACGGCAAGACGGCCGCAGTGCTCACGGAGGCCGCCAGCCCCATCCTGGACGCCCCCTCGAGGGCGAGGGGGGGGAGGACTCGGTTCAGGCCTGACCGAACCGAGCCGCCGCCGGCGGGCCGCCGCCTGCGCGCAGGCCGTCACGGGTTTTTTTTTCCCTTCCTCTTCAGGCCTTTAATGAGCCCCCTCTTCCTCCTTCCTCGTCCCCGAAACTCCTGGGCCCGTTTTCTCGGTCCTTTTCGGCCCCCGCCCCTCTGGCGGGAGCATGTGTCGGGGGGTGACCCCCCCCCCACGCGCCTCGGGCGCGCGCGCGTAGCTTCGGCCGCGCGGACGGCTGCGTCCAACTGGACATCGAGCCGATAGCGATAGCGATAGCGATAGGAGGAGGAGGAGGAGGAGGAGGAGGAGGAGGAGGAGGAAAAAGAGGAGGAGGAGGAGGAGGAGGAGGAGGAGGAGGAGGAGGGGGAGGAGGAAGAGGAGGAGGAGGAGGAGGAGGAGGAATAAGAGGCGGAGCAGGAGGGGGGGAATCCACAAAAGCGATCCTCTTCTAACCCGCCACAAAAGAAATCCTTTTGCAACCCGCCACAAAAGGCATCCCTTCGGGGAGCCGCTACGACAAAGAGTTCTTTGTACTCTGGAGGTGAGGGTGCATGTTGTGTCTCTTTCCCCGCCCTCGGAGTCGGAAGTTTCTCATGTTTGGTCATGTGCAGGGCAAGTGCTGAAATCGTATTATCTGTTTTATGCTTTTCCGTGGCCTCGTCCTTGGGCGGGGGGCGGGCGCCGCGGGAACGAATGTGCCGATAAACCCGAACAAACATATACATATGAAACGCCTCCCCTGCACATGAATTATCCTGGCGAAAGACCCAACCATATGCAATTGTGAATAACGCTTTGTGGGTGCCGCTTTCGGTGGGGCTCCTTATGGGGCCACGAAAGGCGTGCCACGAAACGCTGTCCTGGGCGTACGGGACGCATGAGGGCGGTAGCATTGGGGCCTTCGGTGGAGCTCCATATGGGGCCACGAAACGTGTGAGGGGTGTGCCGAAATGGGTGCGGTGCCGCCATGCGCCCGCAGCCACTGGGGCCTTCGGTGGAGCTCCCTATGGGGCCACGAAACGTGTGAGGGGTATGCCGAAATGGGTGCGGCGCCGCCATGCCAACGCAGCCACTGGGGCCTTAGGTGGAGCTCCCTATGTGGCCACGAAACGTGTGAGGGGTGTGCCGAAATGAGTGCGGCGCCGCCATGCCAACGCACCCACTGGGGCCTTCGGTGGAGCTCCCTATGGGGCCACGAAACGTGTGAGGGGTGTGCCAAATTGGGTGCGGCGCCGCCGTGCCAACGCAACCACTGGGGCCTTCGGTGGAGCTCCCTATGGGGCCATGAAACGTGTGAGGGGTGTGCCGAAATGGGCGCGGCGCCGCCATGCCACGCCGCCACTGGGGCCTTCGATGGAGCTCCCTAATGGGGCCCGAAACGTGTGAGGGTTGTGCGAAATGGGTGCGGCGCCGCCATGCCAACGCAGCCAGATGGGGCCTTCGGTTGAGCTCCCTTTGGGGGCACGAAACGTGTGAGGGGTGTGCCGAATGGGTTGCGGCGCGCCTCAATGGCGGACTTCGCCATGCCAACGCTTGCCAGCACTGGGCCTTCGGTGGAGCTCCCTATGGGGCCACGATCCTCGTGAGGGGTGCGCCGAAATGGGGCGGGGCCGCCATGCGAACGCAGCCACTGGGGCCTTCGGTGGAGCTCCCTATGGGGCCACGAACCGTGTGAGGGGTGCGCCAGAATGGGGCGGGGCCGCCATGCGAACGCAGCCCCTGGGGCCTTCGGTGGAGCTCCCTATGGGGCCACGAACCGTGTGAGGGGTGCGCCAGAATGGGGCGGGGCCGCCATGCGAACGCAGCCACTGGGGCCTTCGGTGGAGCTCCCTATGGGGCCACGAAACGCGTGAGAGGTGTGCCGACATGGGTGCGGCGCCGCCATGCCAACGCAGCCACTGGGGCCTTCGGTGGAGCTCCCTATGGGGCCACGAAAGGTGTGAGGGGTGTGCCGAAATGGGTGCGGCGCCGCCTTGCCAACGCAGCCGCTGGGGCCTTCGGTGGAGTTCCTATGGGGCCACGAAAGGTGTGAGGGGTGTGCCGAAATGCGCGCGGCGCCGCCATGCCAACGCAGCCACTGGGGCCTTCGTGGAAGCTCCCTATGGGCCAAACCAAAGTGTGAGGGGTGTGCCGAACTGGGTGCGGGCGCCGCCATGCCAACCAGCCATTGGGCCTTCGGTTGAGCCCCTTGTGGCCCACGAAACTTGTGAGAGTGGCCGAAAAGGGTGTCGGGCGCCCGCCAATTCCAACGGCTCCACGGGGGCCTTCGGTGGAGCGCCTATGGGGGCCACGAACGTGTGAGGGGTGTGCCGAAATGGGTGCGGCGCCGCCATGCCAACGCAGCCATTGGGGCCTGGGGCCTTCGGTGGAGCTCCCTATGGGGCCACGAAACGTGTGAGGGGTGTGCCGTGAAATGGGTGTGGACGCCGCCGGCCTCATGCCAATGCAACGCCCACTGGGGCCTTCGGTGGAGCTCCCTATGGGGCCACGAAACGTGTGAGGGGTGTGCCGAAATGGGTGCGGGCCGCCATGCCAACGCAGCCACTGGGGCCTTCGGTGGAGCTCCCTATGGGGCCACGAAACGTGTGAGGGGTGTGCCGTGATAGTGGGAGGAGGGAGGAGGGCAGAGGGAGGAAGGAAGGAAGGAATGACGCGGGGCGCTGTCTCTTTAAAACGAAGACCCAACACCACAGGATGGTTGGGAAAAACATTGAAACAAACAAGCTGCGGCCTCACAGGGAGGGGGAGGAGGAGGAGGAGGAGGAGGAGGAGGAGGAGGAGGAGGAGGAGGAGGAGGAGGAGAATTTGGAAAGAACTCAGGAAAAGGCGAGAGAAGGAAGAGGAGGAGGGGGCGAACGAGGAGAAGAGAGAGAGAGAGAGGATCATAAGTAGGAGGATCAGGAGAGAAGAGAGAGGCAGAGAGAGTGAGAGAGAGATGGAGAGATAAGAGAAGAGAAGAGAAGAGAAGAGAAGAGAAGAGAAGAGAAGAGAAGAGAAGAGAAGAGAAGAGAAGAGAAGAGAAGAGAAGAGAAGATAAGAGAAGATACTATAAGAAGCAACATAGGGTTATAATGTATTATATTCGGAAGGGCGACCACGTCTACAAACATATGTGTACATACATAGATTTAACTATACTAGAAATACATGTACATGTATACACACTGTGTTTGGGCCGCTATTTGCCCCTAAGTGGTAGACAAACATAGCATAATACAGTGGACATGCTCCTGGCCCCGACGAGAGGGCCCCTTTAGGGCCCCTGGTGTGAGCTAAATGTGAGCGTTATTTTATTCGGCGTTTCGACATTGGGCGGAAGGGGGGGGGGGAAGGGGGGGGTCTGGCTCAGGACCTCTGCTTAATGCGACTGTTTGTAACAACGTGTCCGATGGGGGAGGGGCTCCACCTGCTCGAAACAGGCGCCAAAAACAGCCAAGATCTACTCCATGGGGGGGGGGGGAGGGGGAGTGCGAGGGGCCGCGCCGATCGGCAAAACAACGAATCAAAAACGACACAAGGTGCACCTTTTCTCCCTCCCCCGTTTACCGCCCCCCCTCACGCCCGCGCTCCCCGAGGCCCACCGCCTCCAGGAAGGCCCGCGGAGGGCGCGTGGCGGAGGTGGCCTGCCCAGCCTCGGGGGCACGACGACGACGACGACGACGACGACGACGACGACGACGACGACGACGACGACGGCCAGACGACGACGACGACGACGACGACGACGACGACGACGACGACGACGACGACGGCGGCGGGCCTCGGGCGCCGCGGCGGCCCCCCGCGGGGCCGCGGGCGGCTCTGGCGGCCTGCCGCCCCCGAAGCCGGTGCCCACGCCCGAGCCGGCCGCGAGGGGCACGAGGCCGACGAGGGGGCGCACCTGAGCATCGTCTGGAGCATGTTTTGCTTTAGATTCGGGCAAGTTTACTTGCATGGACGGGGGGGGGTGGCTGAGCCTGAAGCAAGGCGCAAACGACTTGCACGTTCGGGGGGGCGCGGAAAGCACGCAAGTCGGAAGGCACTTGCACGCTAGTATTCGCTTGAAGAGGGGCGAGAGGGGGGGGGGGGGGGGGGGGGGGGCGAACGCCATGCAAGTAAACTTGCCGGAATCCAAAAAAAACAGGCTCCTGGGGCTCAGTGGGCCCTGGAAACGGCAAGCCCGTTTTTTTTACCCGTTCCGTTTTGCCGTTATCTTGTTGCCGGTTCCGGCGCCGTTGTTTTGCCGGTTCCGTCGCCGTTTTCTGACCGGTTCCGGCTCCGGTTCCGGTCCTGGAGCCGTTTTTTTGCCGTTTCTGGTCGCCGTTTTTATGCCGTTTCCATTCTCAAGGGATATTTTTCTGGAAACGGTGAGGAACGGCCCTGCCGTTTCTGGGGCCCACAAAAGTCTGGGGCCTGTGCCCTAGAGGCCGATGTTCGAAGAGAAGCGAAAATAGTCAGCAAAATGGGCCGATGTTCGAAGAGATGCAAAAATAGGCCGATGAGGGGGCGCACCTGAGCATCGTCTGGGGCCTGTCCCTTGGAGGCCGATTTTCGAAGAGAAGCAAGCATAGTCAACAAAAAATGGGCCCATGTTCGAAGAGGTGCAAACATAGGCCGATGAGGGGGCGCACCTGAGCGTCGTCTGGCCTGAGGTCGGGCCTGTCCCCCCCTAGAGGCAGATTTTCAAGGAAGAATCAAAAGAAGTCAAACAGCAAATAGTCTCACAAATGGGCAAAACAAATGCTCAAAAAATAGTCCCCGACTATTGTTTTACCGTTTTCGAATCTCCCCCCTGTAGAGGGACAGGCCCGACTTCAGTCTGGCCCTCCCAAACATGATCGCGTCGTTAAAAAAATCAGGACGGGCGGTTTGGGGCCGTTTTCGGTCTCGGGGGGCCCTTGCCGGGCCTCGGGGCCGTCAAACAACGACTCAGGACGAAAAACCGGCCCCGGGGAAAAGGTCGGGACTTCCAGGGACACCGTCCTGAAAAAATCAGGACGTCGGATGTCAACCTAAGTTCCGGGTTCGAGGTTCGAGGGTTTCGGACGTTTTCGTCTGTTCTCGGCGGTCTTCCAGCCTCGGGATGCTTGCCAGCAGCTGCGCCTCGCCGAAGGCGTTCCAGGGGGGCCCGGATCGTCCCAAACGGCCGCCAGAGATCCGAGTTATATGCCCTAAGAACCAAGTCGGCGGCGCGCTCGGGGTCGGAGCAGATGGGGTCGGAGGCTCGGAGGATCGCGCCGCAAGCGATGCACCGGCGACGTCGGCGTGGGAAAACACGGGCTCCACATCGAGCCGCATCGCCGATGCATCGGCGATGCGGCGCGATCCTCCGACCCCATCTGCTCCGACCCCATCGAGGTGGCCTAGAGTCCAGCCCGGAGATCCCAGACCCCCTCGAGTCATGACAAACAATCTCGACGGGAGGTGCTTCGCCATGTCCGGCCTCGGGGGGCCCTCTCACAGGCCCTCGGGGCCATCCAGAAACTGCTCAGAGTGAGAGACCAGTCCCCCGGGGCATTGGTCGAGACCCCTAGGGGGCAAGTCAGGACTCTGAAGACACATCTAAAAACCTAATTTGGTTGCTCATTTCCCCAGCGGCAGCTGCATAGGACCGCATGGTATCTCAATTTCCTCCCTGCATCTTATGTGTTTTACAGCGCTTCCGTACAGAAAAATAAATACGAATAGATATGCTTCAAAAACAAATACGTTTAGATATGATTCTGGCACACCCCTCACACGTTTCGTGGCCCCATAGGGAGCTCCACCGAAGGCCCCAGTGGCTGCGCCCGCATGCGGTTCCACCCGCCCATTCTGGCACACCCCTCACACGTTTCGTGGCCCCATAGGGAGCTCCACCGAAGGCCCCAGTGGCTGCGCCCGCATGCGGTTCACCCCCCATTTCTGGCACACCCCTCACACGTTTCGTGGCCCCATAGGGAGCTCCACCGAAGGCCCCAGTGGCTGCGCCCGCATGCGGTTCCACCCCCCATTCTGGCACACCCCTCACACGTTTCGTGGCCCCATAGGGAGCTCCACCGAAGGCCCCAGTGGCTGCGCCCGCATGCGGTTCCACCCCCCATTCTGGCACACCCCTCACACGTTTCGTGGCCCCATAGGGAGCTCCACCGAAGGCCCCAGTGGCTGCGCCCGCATGCGGTTCCACCCCCCATTCTGGCACACCCCTCACACGTTTCGTGGCCCCATAGGGAGCTCCACCGAAGGCCCCAGTGGCTGCGCCCGCATGCGGTTCCACCCCCCATTCTGGCACACCCCTCACACGTTTCGTGGCCCCATAGGGAGCTCCACCGAAGGCCCCAGTGGCTGCGCCCGCATGCGGTCCACCCCCATTCTGGCACACCCCTCACACGTTTCGTGGCCCCATAGGGAGCTCCACCGAAGGCCCCAGTGGCTGCGCCCGCATGCGGTTCCACCCCCCATTCTGGCACACCCCTCACACGTTTCGTGGCCCCATAGGGAGCTCCACCGAAGGCCCCAGTGGCTGCGCCCGCATGCGGTTCCACCCCCCATTCTGGCACACCCCTCACACGTTTCGTGGCCCCATGGGGGCTCCACCGAAGCCCAGTGGCTGCGCCGCTTGCGGTTCCAGGCACACCCCTCACACGTTCGTGGCCCATGGGGAGCTCCACCGAACGCCCCAGTGGCTGCGCTCGCATGCGGTTCCACCCCCCCATTCTCGGCACACCCCTCACACGTTTCGTGGCCCCATAGGGAGCTCCACCGAAGGCCCCAGTGGCTGCGCTCGCATGCGGTTCCACCCCCTTTTTTCGGCACGCCCTTCACACGTCTCGTGGCCCCATAGGGAGCTCCACCGAACGCCGCAGTGGCTGCGCTCGCATGCGGTTCCACCCCCCCATTTCGGCACACCCCTCACACGCTTCGTGGCTCCATAGGGAGCTCCACCGAAGGCCCCAGTGGCTGCGCTGGCATGCGGTTCCACACCCCATTCTGGCACACCCCTCGCACGTTTCGTGGCCCCATAGGGGGCTCCACCAAAGGTCCCAGTGGCACTGCCCGCTTGCGTCCGCCACCACCCAGCACAGCCCTTGTTCCCTGCGCTTCACCCACCCAGAACAGCGCTTCGTAGCCCTATAGGGAGCTCCACCAAAGGTCCCAGCGGCACCGCCCGCATGCGTCCGCCACCACCCTGCGCAGCCCTTGCTCCCTGCCTGCGTTTCACCCACCCAGTACAGCGTTTCGTGGCCCCATAGGGAGCTCCACCGAAGGTCCCAGTGGCACCGCTCGCATGCGTCCGCCACCACGCAGCACAGCCCTTGCTGACCGCGTCTCGCCCACCCAGTACAGCGCTTCGTGGCCCCATAGGGAGCTCCACCGAAGGTCCCAGTGGCACCGCCCGCATGCGTCCGCCACCACCCAGCACAATTGCGGCATTCACACCTGCATATGGTTGGGTCATTCGCCAGGCTTAATGTTTTACAGCGCTTTCGTACAGAAAAATAGATACGAATAGACATGCTTCAAAAACAGATACGTTTAGATCTGATTTCTTATTTTTTAGATACGGAAGCCATCATGCCATATAGAGGGATCTGGGATCCGGCCCCTGCAACTTCTTCACAGCAGGCGTGGCTTCGCCCCGCTTCCCGGGCCACGGGGCCATCCCGGATCGACGCGGCTCGAGAAACAACAAACCCTGCAGGAAGACGGGGTGTGCACAGAGGGCAGAAAAGCCACCCCGATGATAACCACCCCGACGCGCGAGGCCCTTAGTAAACGCACCCAAAGAAGGAATCAAGCAGGGCAGGGCTGTTCAGTAAACGCCCAGGGCTGTTCAACTAGACGCCAATTGTCAGGTCTGGACGTTTTTTCGTTGTTTCTTCTCTCGAATATAGGGCTCCCGTGGTGGTTTGTTCGCGCTGCTGCCATTCTTCCGCAGCGCCAGATCTCAGGGAACGGCTCAGGGCCCACAGCCCCTCCCCCAAGATGGGATGAGCCCCAGGGCCCCACGGGCCCCTGCACGGTTTTCCCCGTGGCCGTAGGCGACCCGAGGAGGAGGAGGAGGAGGAGGAGGAGGAGGAGGAGGAGGAGGAGGAGGAGGAGGAGGAGGAGGAGGAGGAGGAGGAGGAGGAGGTGGGGAGGAGGAGGAGGAGGAGGAGGAGGAGGAGGAGGAGGAGGAGGAGGAGGAGGAGGAGGAGGAGGAGGAGGAGGAGGTAGGGAGGAAGAGGGAGGAGGAGGAGGAGGGGGAGGGGGTAAGGGGGAGGGGGGGAGCACCAGTGGGGAGGAGGAGGGTGGAGGAGGAGGAGGAGAAGAGGAGGAGGAGAAGGAGGAAGAGGAGGAGGGGGAGGGGGAGGAGGAGATGGAGGGGGAAAGAGGAGGAGGAGAAGGAGGATGAGGAGGAGGAGGAGGAGGGGAGGAGGAGGGGGAGGGGAGAGGGGGAGGAGGAGTTGGAGGGGGAAGGGGGAGGAGGAGGAGGAGGAGGGAGGAGGAGGAGGAGGAGGAGGAGGAGGAGGAGGAGGAGGAGGAGGAAGGGCCGGGTCGCATAAGCCCTTCAGAGAAACCCTCCAGGGGGGGGGGGGGCGACGGCGACGCGGAGGGTGGGGGGCACGGCAGCACTATCCCACACCCACCGGGGGGGGACCCATCGGGGGGGGAGAGGGTGATCCCACTGGCATGGTGGGCGGGGGGGCCGTGGGCCCTGGGACGTATATGCCTGTGCCTTCGGTTTTCGCGGCGTCTATCCACACCTGGGAGGGTAGGCATGGTGGGGACTGAGCTACCCTGGCCCAGTCGGGATGGGGGCAGGTTGGACGCTGCTGAGCACCATGCCGACCAGCGCCTCCTCGGAGGCGACGCGGACCTCCGCGGCGCAGCAGAGGCCGCAGGACGCCCCGAACCACGGCGCCCCGGCGGGCCAGTCCAGCGGGGGCGGCACCGGGGGTAGCCAGAAGCACGCCTTCAGCTTGGACTCGATGGAGACAAGCTGGTCCCTGGAGAATCGCGGCGCCGCCTGCGCCGCTGCCGCCCCTCCGTCGGCAGCGAGGCTGGCAGAGCCCGTGGCAGCTCCCGTGGCACCTGCTGCGACAACCTCTATGGTGCCGGCGAGCATGCTGGTGAAATCGGTCCAGAGGCTCGACTCCCTTGACTTGGGCTTCTGCGGCGCCCGGTCCGGCACCTCGCCGGCTGCGCTGGCAGCGGCGGCGGGCCTCGGCGGCTCGCGGTCGAGGTCGGCCAGCAAGGGCGCGATGTGCTCCACCACGTAGTGCATCAGAGCCTCGGCGACTGTGGCCACCCCAGGCGCCAGCCCTTTCTGCACAGGCTCCGCGAGGTCGGCCGCTGGCGCAGCCACGGGCGAGGAGGCAGCGTCGGCGGCCTTGGGCGCGCCTGCGGCGGCGGCGGCCGCAGGTGCCGTGGGGGCCGCTGCGGCACCTGCGGCACCTGCGGCTTGCTGGGGCGGCGCGGGGCGCACCCCCGGCAGGACACGAGGAGCCGGTGGGCTGCCGGCAGGCTGCGGCGGAGCACGTGCCCGCAGGGGCGGTGGTTGCGCTGGGGCCCTGCGGGCGGCCTCCTGTTCGTGCAGCCACACGAGCCTCTCGTTCAGCTCGTCGTACTCCAGCTCGGTCCTGTAGCGGAGAACCTGTCGGCACTCTGCCGAGAGGAAGCGGGGCTCTGGGAACGGACCGATGGTCCCATTGCCGCCGTACAGACGACGCAACTTCTCCACCTTGGGATCGAGCACCTGCGCAGCGCTGAGAATCTTCCCGCTCACGGTGCCCACGAAGGGCACGCGCTGCAAGGCCTCGAGGCAACGCTCGTTGCCCGAAAGCTCCATCTCGCGCCAACGCTTCACCACAACTTCCATCAACCCTTGGCATGCCTTCGGGTCAGCCGCTTGCATCGCCCAGGGAAACACCCGGTGAAGCAGCAGGTCCGCCCATCGCAGCCTCGGCAGCGCCAGCTCCCTCAGCAGCGCGGCGACCAGGCTGCCTTCTTGCTGGGTCAGGCTCTGCAGCACGGGTGGAGGCACCTCGAGGCACGAGGGCAGTTCCACGCGAGCCTCGCGCAGAGCGCCCACGACCTGGGGGCACGTGTCCGGCAGAACCGACCAGCCCGCCAGCGGCCCGCCTGTGCTCTCCTGGGGCGTGGCGCGGGCGTCGAGAAGAGCGACACCGGTCGCCTGCTGGTTGAAGCGACAGAACAGCGGAAGAGCCCGCACCACCTCGCAGCGGCACTTCCAGTCTGGACCGCTGGCCGACTCGCACATGCAGCCGTCGCGCTGGGCCAGCGCCACGGAGACGACCAGAGCTCGCTGGGCGTCCAGAGAGCCCGCGCCGTCCCCAAAGGCAGATCGCAGGCGCTGGTCCGGAGAGGCCCCCTTGGAGCTGGAGGCCATCAGCCTCGAAGACACGTGCATCGCGCGGAGCATGCCCTCGGGCGTGCCCGCGTGCACGCAGCACCGCAGCGCCTTCTCGTGGCCCTCCAGCAGCCAGGCGGGCTCCCACACCGGCACGCAGCCGAGGCAGCGCTGCAGCAGCTTGCCCATCTCGTGCGCCGTCGCCGCGCTGCGCTGCTGCGGCGTCGGCGGCCCGGGCTGCTGCACCGGAGCGCGCGGCGCAGGGGCGCCGCCCAGGTAGTCGTCCAGCTGCTGCAGCGTCGGGGCGCCCTGGCTGTCCTCGCCGGCCTCGCGCCGGGCGCCGCCCGCCGGCTCCGCAGGGGCCCCGGCGCCCGCGGCGGCAGCCGCTGCCGGGCCGCTGGCCGCGGCGGCGGGCGCCGGGGCCTCGGCCCCCGCGGGCGGAGCCGCCGGGCCCGCGGCGCCCTGCGGCGCGAGCGGCAGCGCGGGGGGCTCTGCGGGGGGCGGGGGCGGCGGCGGCGGCGGGGGCGGCGGCTGCGGCGGCATGGAGAAGAGGATCCGCCACCGCGCCCACCGGCACGCAGCCGAGCGGCGTGCTGCCGGGGCCGTCTGGCGGGGCCTCTGCAGCGCTCTGCTCGCGCACCCCTCTGGGTGCTAGCCCCCTTCCATCGGGAGGCTTCCCGGCGGCCTGGAGGCCAGAAATCTCCCCAAGGGCCGGCGGGCCCCGAGGATATGTTGGGCGCCGCGACCACTCCAGAGTACTCAGGGATGCTCTGGGAGCTTCGCGAAACGCCCTGAAGCGATCTCTTCTTGTCCTAGGCCTGCCCGAATAAGGCCCTTCGGTTTGGTGCAGCAGCTGCCACGTTGCGGCCCTCTCTGGGCCCAAAGAAGCGGCCTGTGACATGTTACGACTCACTGGGCCCTCGAGGAAGCCCCAGATTCAAGTGGATCCCAAGATGCCCGCGGACGCCCCCAAGACGCCCTGAGAGACCCCTTGATCCTTCCTCTTCTTCGCCCTCTTATCCCCCCCAACCTCCTCATCTTCGTTCCTCGCCATCCTTCTCCTCCTCGCGACGAGCTGCCATGACGGCCATCAGGGCCCGAGGAGGAGGGGGGCCTCATGGTATGGCCCGCTGCCCCCCCGCGGAAGAGAAACAACTGTGGCAAATTGCGGTCTTCTACGAACTGAGAATGGGCGGAGCCGTCACAGAGAACGGCGCCAAGAGGCCTGGAGAAGAGACACACCACATGAGAACGCCATGTAGGCCCTGAGAATTACAATATGGTGGGGGCATTGGAAAAAGAACCACTGGCTAAGGAATCCAGGGTCGGGAAGCCGATAAAATACCAACTGATGCTTTAGCCATGGATCTTGCCGCCGCCCTCGTCAGGTGAGAAATCCTGAAGGGTCTGAGCCGCACATTCCTGAACGAACGCCCCTACCGTATCAAATGCTGCGCCCTCCTGGAGCCAAATGATGGAAAACTGTCACGTGTCAGGACCCTCTGGAACTAGGGAATGAGACCTTCGCTGGTTCGAGGGAGCGGGCTGCCGCGTGACAATACCCTCAAGGACCTTTAACATAACAGCACCACACGTGGCTGCCTTCCAGGCCTTCGAGGAGAAAGCTATGGCATGCTTCGCCATCTGGGGTCCTAGAGACGAGGGTTGTCACATGCAACAATGGGGGAAGCTATCATATACAGTACGGGCTTCTCCGAACTGCAAAAGCAAGCTGTCAGATGTAAAGGCCGTTCTGGGCCTGAAAAGAAGTGTCACATGTTACAGCCCTGTGGTACCTACGGCAATTTTCGGACCGGTCAGGGCGTGTGATAAGCTACAGCCCTCCTGAGCCTTGGCAAGGAAGTTGTCACATGTAAAGGCATCATGGCACCTTAAAAAAGTCACGTCCGACATGCTCAGCCGATGCGCAAAAACAGAGGTGTCAAATGTAACGACTCTCCAGGACCTGGAAAAGACAATTGTGAAACGCACCCCTCCACGAACTAGGGAAACGAGCCGTCATGTGCTCCAGCTCCTTGATGCTATTGGGGAGACGTGGAACGTATCAAATGTTGTGGCCCCGTGGGCCCTCAGAGCAATACGTATCACAGGTTACGGCCTTTTCGGACCAGGGGGACAAGGAAACGCAGCATGTCACGACCCTCCAGGACCAGTCAGCATCGAATCGAGAAATCCGATCGAATCAGACCGCGCGTCGGATCGGACCGCACCTGCCTCGAGTCGGGGTCGAATCGGATCGGCTGCGCCACGATGCACAACAGCGCCATGCAAGCATGGCCGCATCGGCTCGTCGGGATACTAGAGAGAGAGAGAGAGAGAGAGCGCGTTTCACATGCGTTTGGCTTGAAAACAAAACCAGGGGCTCCACTTATAACCCCCACTCCCCCGCGCCCCGAAAAACCACCTACCTGCCCCCTTTCTGGAACTTACCCCCCCATTGGCCCCACCGCTCGTTGCTCCCCCCCAAAAAAACATAGGCGGGGGGTGGGTAAGGCTCCCACCTCGACGGGGAAAACGACGTTGGGGGGGGGAATTCTCCTCCTCGTCGCCGGCATAAGGCGACGAAGACGACGACAACGGCGACGGCGGCGGCGTCGAGGACGAAGACGACCGACGACGACGAAGAACGAAGACGATGACGACGACGACGACGGCGACGGCGACGACGACGACGACGACGACGGCGATGCGGTCGGGGCATTCAAGCCAGCGGGCGATGACGACGACGACGACGACGGCGACGGCGACGACGACGACGACGACCGACGACGACGAAGAACGACGACGACGACGACGACGGCGACGGCGACGACGACGACGGCGATGCGGTCTGGGCATTCAAGCCAGCGGGCGGGCCGGTAGGGCGGGACATGAAGCGGGCGCGCGGCGGGCGGGAAATGCGATGCATACATGTTGCTGATTCGCGGGGCGCGGCTGGGGAAATGCACGGAGTTAAAACGAACGAAAGCGCAAGAGACGACGACGGCATCGACGACGGGTGGAATACTCAAGCGGACTACTCTATAATAGAATACCTGCCAGACCACCCCAGCCCAACCTGAAGACCCGACTTTCGCCCGAATTTCGGGTAGGGGAGGGTACGGGATCCGTATGTGTTTTTTCAATGTTCCCCGATCCCCCCCCCCCACACACCGGAAATGGAGGGCAGATCAGGGCCTTCGGGTCAGGTTGGGGCGGCTTGGTGGGCGGTGACAAGCGGGCGGGCGGGCGGAGCAGTGAATGTAACAAGCGTAAGCACTGGCGGAAAAAGAACGGTTGCATTTGAGGCGTTGAATACCACACATACAGCCACCATAAACCACTGTAGGTTTTAAGCGTGAGCTTCTGCTGCCTGTGAGGCGAGGGCGCAACACACTGAGCGAGACGAGGGACGACAGCAGGCGACGGCGTCGACGGTCGAGCGGGACATGAGTGCGGTCGTGCAGACGGGCGGGGCCAGAAGTGTCACTGTTGCCTGTTCGAGGGGCAACCTTGGGAGACAGTTTTAAAAGTTTGACCAGGGCAAAAAAGTAACATAAACTAGGGCGCAAACAAACCTACCTCGCTTTTGACCACCCTCGCTTCCAAGAGATACCAAGCGACGCCAAACTACGGCCTGAGCTGGTCAGGCCGCTCGACGAGGAGGAGCGTGGTATGACTTGGTTTTGCCTGGAAGCGAAAGCGGGGTAGGTAATTCACGCTCTGATAAACATAACAACTCGGAGGTCCGCGCGGATTTCTCGGATCGGCGCTGGACCCCCCTCCCTGGCGCGCGGAGCGCGCCAGGGGCGGCGCCGGAGGCGCCGCCGGGGGGCCCCAGCGCCATCCGAGAAATCCGCGAGGCCTCCGAGTTGTTATGTTTATGTCACTTGGGATGCGCTACAGAAGCCGACGACGATGACGCCGAGCGGGCGGGACATTAAACCAGGCGGGCGCGCGGGACAACACCTTTGAACATAGTTCGTTGGCGGGACAAGGCCAGGAGAAAACCAAATAACTGATTATCACAGGGAAACGATGACGATGACGACGATGGGCAGGACATTAAAGTGTAGTGTAAGACAGACACTAAGCGTGAACTTCAATCGTTGGAGAGACGACGTCGTCATCGTCGTGGTCGTCGTCGTCGTCGTGGTCGTGGTCGTGGTCGCTGGCGTGGTTGTGGTCGTCGTCGTTTGCCGGCGACGGAAGGTTCCAACTCCCCCCCTTTCGCCCGAGCGCCGGGGGAGGGGAGTTCTAGAACCCTCCCTCCTCCTGCCCCCAGGGGGAGGGGGGATTCTGAAATCCCACCACCACCACCATGCGACCACGAAGCTTCTTGGTCGCGGACTCGGCGAACGCACGGATCGGTCCAGCCAACGCTGGGCCGGCCGGAATCGACATCGGGCGGGGTCGACCGGAACGAGGTGGACCCTGCCCTCCGGAGCCCACAGAGGACAGCCGACACGCGCCACGGCCTCATGGCCAACTCTCGCACGGTCGGCTCACAGAGTTTTGCTGCTGGCAGGGTTCGATGACCCTCAGAGCACGTGCTGCTGCCAACCTGTGCTTGTCCACCGAGGTCCTTCCGCGCAACGCACGCGGTGCAGTGAGGATCGAAACAGGCGGCGTGCTATCGGCGGAGCGGAGCGGAGCAGACACGCACTGGGCAGACACGTGCCCCGAGGATCACGGGGGTGTGGCGGAGCATGCCGCAGGCGAGTGCATGAGCTTCTGCGGCTCTGGGACGCGGTGCAGCGTGATGACGCCGTCGCCTGACAGGCTCGGAAGGACGGGCCAGTGCAGGAGCTGCGTCAGCGGGATGTTCTTCTGCTCCAGCCAACGCCACAGCGCCTGCAGCCACGACTCCACCCAGTCCTCCCACTCCGCCAGGGGGACGCTTGGGCACTGACTGTTCCTGAGCATAGTTCAACCGATCCCTATCCCCACTGTCGTGGCCTGGGCCCCACCGGCCGATCTTTTACATCCCTGGATGGGGATATAGGCTGCTCCCCTGGGGTTCGAGGGGCATATCCCCAAGTGGGGTGGTGGGATGGTGGCGATCGGGACCCAGACCCCCGACGTCATGATTTCTTCTTAATTCGACACCCAGAGGTCTCGAACCATTCCCCGGGACCAGTTTTTCATCCTGAGTCGTTTCTTGACGGTCCCGAGGGCCGGTAAGGGCCCCCACATGCCGAAGATCGCGAAAAATCTCCCGTCGTGATTTTGTAGCAACTCGAGGGGGTCTGGGGATGGGGATGGTGATAGGGATCGGTTGGACGATACTGAGTTCCAGGCCCGCGGGAGCAGGCGCATCAGCGCCTCTACGAGCAGCGCGAAAGTCACCGTGCGGCACTGGAAGGCGCTCTGGGGGGCCTGCCTCTGCGCGGGGGCCGCGCCGCCAGGAAGCGGCGCCTTCGCAACGCCCGTGGCCTCCTCTAGGGGAACACAGCCTCCTCCTCCTCCTCCTCCTCCTCTTCCTCCTCCTCCTCATCCTCTTCCTCCTCCACTCCCCCTCCTCCCCCTCCTCCTCCTCCTCCTCCTCCTCCTCCTCCTCCTCCTCCTCCTCCTCCTCCTCCTCCTCCTCCTCCCCCATTCCTTTTCCTTGTATATACTTTCTCCCTGTCGCACCCTGAGGCCAGTTTTTAGGGCGTCCGGGCGTTTCGCCTGAAACTTCCTCACCATTTATGACCCTGAAGCTTGAACATTGGCAGCCGTTCCACAGATGGAAGACGGGCCGTTTTCGAAATGTGGCTCTCGCCTGAGCGCCGCGCACGTTCGTTTAAACAAATGTCAGGGTTCACGGACTGAGGGCGACCCGTTTTCAAAATGTGGCTCTCGCTTCAGCGCCGCGCACCTTAGCAAGAGCTTCACGGATTGAGGGCGGTTCCGTTTCAACATGGGGCTCTCGCCTTGCGCCGCGCACATTCGTTTTTAGACAAAAATGCAAGAGTTTCGCGGATTCCCATGGTCAGCGTACCAGACATGTGTTTTGGAAGGAATCAAGATCAGGCGGGCGCAACAGTTACGTTGATTCGCGGCGTTGAAGTCCCAGGAATGGCGTCCTGGCACGATGCAGGAACGTCAAGGCCCAACAGTCAGGTTGACCCGCGGCTTTGGAATCCCGAGAACATTGTCTTGACATGCATCAGGGTCTTCAAACGGTTGTCTTCCAACGCGGCAGCTCCCTCGGTGGAGATGAACGCTTCTAGCGGCCTGTGAAGAGGGAGCTTGGAGGGATGGTTTACCCCAACATCGTTGATGACTCTTAGGTTTACACTGGTCCTCCTTCTCCTCCTCCTCCTCCGCATCCTCCTCCTCCTCCTTCTTCTGCTACTCCTCCCCCTTCCCCTCCTCCTCCTCCCCCTCCTCCACCTCCTCATTCTCTCCTCCTCCTGCTGCTCCTCCTCCCTCCTCCTCCTTTTCCTCCTCCTCCTCCTCCTCCTCTCCTCCCCTCCTCCGTCCTCTCCTGCTCTCCCCCTCCTCCTCCTCCTCCTCCTCCTCCTCCTCCTCCTCCTCCTCCTCCGCCTCCTACTCCTCCTCATCCGCCTCCTCCTCCTCCTCCTCCTCCTCTCTCCTCTCCCTCCTCCTACCTCCTCCCCCTCCACCCTCTCCCCCTCCCCCTCCTCCTCCTCATCCTCCTCCTCCTCTCCTCCTTCTCCTCTTCCTCCTCCTACCGATCCTTAGCCCTCCCCTCTTCTCCCCCTCCTCCTCCTCCTCCTCCTCCTCCTCCTCCTCCTCCTCCTCCTCCTCCCCCTCCTCCTCCTCCTCCTCCTCCTCCTCCTCCTCCTCCTCCTCCTCCTCCTCCTCCTCCTCCCCCTCCTCTGCATAACCATAAACACGTTTTAGCTCCGCGCGGATTTCTTGGACCGGCGCTTGGCATCGGCGCGGAGCGCGGCCAGGGTGGGCGCCGGAAGCGCCGCCAGGGTGGGCCCAGCGCCGACCCAAGAACGTCGCGCGGAGCTGCGAGGAGGAGGAGGAGGAGGAGGAGGAGGAGGAAGAGGAGGAGTAGGAGGAGGAGGAGGCGGAGGGTGGGCCCAGCGCCGACCCAAGAAAGTCTGTGCCGTTCCGACGTTCTTCTCCGCTCCTCGGCCGCCGTCCGATCGTACAGCGCGGCCATCTCCTTGAGCCGCGCCCAGACCACGGGCCGCTGCTCCAGGCGCGAGGACAGCACGCACCTGCGGCTCTCCCGCGATTTCGGGAAGAGCCGCCGCTCCAGCTCGCCCTGGGGAACGAACACCACAGGCTCCTTCGGCCCCGGCGTCCGGAAGGCCTGCACCACCTCTGGAGCGAGAAAACAGCAGCATGCAGCTGTCGGAGCTCCGCGCGGATCTCTTGGATCGGCGCTGGAGCCTCCTCCCTGGCGCGCGGAGCGCGCAAGGGTCGGCGCCGGAAGGGCGCCGCCTGGGGGGGGCGGCAGCGCCGATCCCAGACCTCGGCTCGGAGCTCCGAAAGCTCATATGCTTCTGCTGCCTCTTGCTATTCGAACCTCTTCGTCGGCGGCCAGAACGAGCGGCACGCCCTTGAGGTCCCCGACGTCGCCGTCGGACATGGCGTACTCGAGGAAGTTGGCGGCGTCCTCGGGCGACATGTCGCCCAGCGCCCCCTGCCCGCCGGAGGCCCCCTTCAGCGGCAGCGCGGCCTTCTCCTCGCGCCCGCACGCGCTGCGCAGGAACTCGCGCACCCACTGCGGCGACAGGACCGCGACGCGCTTCGGGTGGGCCGCCCTCTCGACGGACTCCTGATGGGCGTGTTTTCCATCACCACCACCCATCACCACCACCAAAGTTGGAGGGGGGGAGGAGGAGGAGGACGAGGAGGAGGAGGAGGACGAAGAAGGGAAAGAGGAGGAGGAGGAGGAGGAGGACGAAGAAGGGAAAGAGGAGGAGGAGGAGGAGGAGGAGGACGAAGAAGGGAAGGAGGAGGAGGAGGAGGAGCAGGAGGAGAAGGTGGAGGAGGAGGAGGAGGAGCGGAAGAGGAGACGAGCGTAGAGGGGGCAACGTCGAGGAGGAGGAGGAGTAGGAGGAGGACCCCTTCCCCCTCCAACTTATGGTGGTGGTGGTGGTGGTGGTGGAAAACAAGCCCATCAACTCCAGGATGTGCCCCGGCGCATCCACGAGAGGCACGCCGAAGCCCAGCAGGCGCTGCACGACCCTGTCCAGGAGCTGCTCCGAGGTGCCGGGGCCGCCGCCGCCGCGCCCTGAGCATTGTGTTGGCGATCCCCATCCCCACCTGCGCGGCCTGGGCCCAACTGGCCGATCTACCCCGCTGGATGGACATGTACCCCCCGACCCTGGCGTTGCACTGCTTTCTTCGAACATGGATGTTTGACGGCCCGGTCTCGGGCCCTGGGACCTGAGCATTGCTCAAACGATCCCCATCCCCACCTGCGTGGCCTGGGCCCAACTGGCCGATCTACCCCGCTGGATGGACATGTACCCCCCGACCCTGGCGTTGCACTGCTTTCTTCGAACATGGATGTTTGACGGCCCGGTCTCGGGCCCTGGGACCTCCGGCTCGAAACCTAACGCAGCAAATGTGCGTTTGCGGCATTGCACGTTCGGATCTCGAGGTCAGACCGATTCCTATCCTTAGGTCGGGCATGTCCCCCACCCTACTGGGGGATTTCGGTTGAAAAATGAAAAATAAACCAAAAATATCGAAAGATGGCACAAAAAATAAACAAATCGTCCCCAGACGATTTCATTTTCACTACTTTTGATTAGTCCTCCTGTAGAGGGACACGCCCGACTTAATCCTGTCCCCACCGGCGTGGCCTGGGCCCCCCTGGCAGGCGAGTATACACCTCTTGCTTGGATGGGGATACGTGGGCTGTCCCCTTTGGGCCTCGAAGGACCCCTCCCTGGCCGGGGTGGTGGGATGGTGGGGCTGAGATCCCTGAGTTTAGGTTGGGCGTGTCCCCTTACAGGGGGATTTTGGACGAAACACAAGAAATAATCAAAAAACACACCCACAATGATCAAACACAGTCCAAAAAATCGTCCCCTGACTATTTTTTGACTACTTTTGAATATTCCTCCTGTAGAGGGACACGCCCGACTCAACCCTGAGATCCGACATCGCAGACGACTTGCAACATCGCAGAGCATCACGACCGACCCCATCTGCTTGCATCGTCTGTCGAGCACGAGACCGGGCGAAGACGCCCGCTGTGCGAACACCGCAAGGCCAGGATCTGAGGAAGAGATGACATGGCCCAGGGGGGGATTGGGGATAGCTTGACGATGCTGACGACTGCGTCGGTATAGGTTATGGGGACACCCAGAGAAGGTACCCCAGATTTCGTAATAAAAAGGAGGGGGTCACAACCCTCCCAGACGAGAAGTCTTAGACCCCCCCAGACCATCCATGAAAGGGCGGCCCTTTGCCCAGATCCCCCCGAGCCCTCCAAGACAGCTCAAACCAGACCCCCCCAAAAATGTGACCCCCCCCCCACTTTATTATGGAATCCGGAGTACCGATACCGCTGCTCCTCAGACCTTTCCCGCGGGGCGCTCCGACAAACAAACATTTCGAAGCGAGTCCAGCCGTGCCGGCGAGGGCTCCCAAGGAGGCCCAACGATATATCTATATATATACCCCTTCTGATGGGCGAGGTCTCTCTCTCTCTCTCTCCCTCTCTATCTATATGCTACATAAACATGAGTATGCTAACGGTTGTGTATGTGTACACGTGCTCACGTTCATTAGTACATGTGTGTATGCATTCCTTCCGCCCATTATTATGACATGTATATATGCACTCACTCATTCATACATACATAAATGCATGCAGTCATACATGCGTATATACATGCATACATACACACAAATATACATACACACATAAACGCCCACACACGCAT